AAAAAACAATTACTTTTTTCTTGTTGATATAAATAATAAAATCTCATGGGAGATTCTCAGGACTCCGAATGCGTTAAAACTAGGCCCATGGGTGTCCCCCTGGGGAGATCAGTGTGTTTGATTGATGTCAAGGACCTTGGGCCTGTCTCTTTAGAGCAGTGGTTCTCAACCTTGGCTGCACATTAGAATCACCTGGGAATCTTTTTAAAATCCTGATTTCTGGGCCCCATCCTCCGGAAATTCTGTTTCTTTGTTACTAATGTTGTGGTCCCGCCCCATAACAAAGAAACAGACTTTCCGGAGGATGAGGCCCAGAAATCAGGATTTTAAAAAGATTCCCAGGTGATTCTAATGTGCAGCCAGGGTTGAGAACCACTGCTTTAGGGGAGGGATTTCCAACCTGTGCAACAGGCCTCAGGCCATCCCTCATCTCCTTTCATCCTCACAGTCTCCCTCGGAAGTGTGGGTAGGGCCATTCCATTTTTCCGATGAGAAAATTAACTTGTCCAAGGTTTCATAGCTGACTCTTGGTGGAGCCAGAATTCTTGCCACATACATCAAAAGACAGAACCATAGAGGATGCGGCACCTTTCTTTGCAGAGCCACCAAATCACAGCTGGCACGGAGCTTCACGCCCAGGGCCTTTCCTGAGGTTTTTTAGGAGATAGTCATTGAGCAGCTCTCTGTCTGCCTCTTGGTCCTTCATTGCGACTTTGCAAACAGCTTTTAAGACTTGAGTTCTGAGTCATTCAATAAAACTGTTTATTATGCACTACAACAAATACAAAAAAAGTCAAGTAATTCTTTTCATGCCTTCCTGCAACTGCACAGAGAATTGATCTAATCTGGACATTCTTTATTGAACGTCTCTGCTCCAGCATGAGGTGCCTCTTTGTGTGTCTCTTGGCTGTCAGACTCTGCCCACTTTTGGGGGTGAGGAAGGCGCCTTCCAGGAGCAGGTGTGGTTGCATAGTGCATGGAATCGGGGCCCGTGCACACTCAGGAGCCTGTGCCTGAGCAGGAGGGATTACTCATGCTCTCTGTAACTGGACCAGACTTGATGTCCTGCAGTGTGAGTCCAGTAGAGGCAAATCGGGCGAGGAGGGCACCTCTGTCCCTGTCAATCGGGAGGACTGAGGCCCTGTGACATGATGAACTGCTAGGAGGGCATGACTCAGCCAGGCCTGCGATTTGACATGTAGGGATCAGGGGCAGGCTGCTCCTGATAATTTCCTTTCTATAAAACTTAAACAGAGAAGGGCACACAAATTAGAAGGAAAATGATTGGTTGGCAAGGAAAAAGCTGCTCCATGGCCTTCAGTCTATAGATTTATGGAAAAATAATTTAACTCAAAATTTGAGTTATCATAGTATTGATATCCTCATTTAACATCTTGATCTCTTAAAGACTAGAGTTAATTTGTATGTTGGGACAAATGCAGAGTCATAGATAAATGAGCTTATTTTGAGCCTTCTGTGAGTAAATGAATTAGTTCTGTTTTATCTGAGGGTAGATCCAGCCCTAGTACTAGTTAGTGAATATGGTGTTGAACTCGACTCAGCAGTATCCGAGAGATGTGTGAGAGATGTGTCCAGGCCTGAGTGGGCTGTCTGAGGGCCAATGATGATGGTGAGGAGCTGGGGGGTGAGGGTGAGGAAGACACCTGTCAAACTAAGCAGGAGGTGACTGGAAGCCAGAGGACTTTGAGAACTTTTCACGTGGAGGCCAGGGAGGACTCATGAGGGCTAGATGGCACCCAGAAAAGATCAGGAAGCAGGCCAATGCTGGAAGAAACTGGTGATCTCAAACACACCTGACTGTGGGGCCATCCTAAGCCTCTGTCACTCAGTTCAAATATCTTGATCCAGCATCCTGTTTCGTCTCATACCACATGCCTATGCCCGCCTTGCTTCACCTGCACTAACTTCTTTCTGTTCCTCAGACTTGCCAAGCTCATTCCCTTCAGGGCCTGTGTGCATGCTGCTCTGTCCCCCTAGAATGCCTCCCCTCCCCCACCCCATATTTACATGATTGGTTTATTTGCAGTCAGGTCTCAGTCAAACATCACTTTTGTCTATCCCGTCGGAAGCAGCCCTCAGCCAGTCACCCTGTTTTAGTGTCATTACCCTGTTTTAGTGTCTTTATTCACTGAAATCATTTTGGTTTTTGTTGGCTTAGTTAGAGTCCTCTGACTGTACTGTAAGCACTGTAAGAATAGGACTTTTTTTCTGTTTAAATGATCATTACATCTCTACTGCCTAGAATAGGACCAGGGTTCAATAAATGTCTGTCCAATGATCAAATGAATGAAAGAATGAATGAGTAAAGTCAGACACAATTGGAGAAAGAGAACCAAGTCTTATATATCAGCCGAACCATCTATAGTTAAATGATTGTCACTAATCTGAGAATAAAGAATCTGTGATTTGGTATTTGTATATATTTCTAAGCTTTTCTATTATCTTTTAAGTGCTTGACATTGACTAAGGGCTTAATAAATATTTGTTAGATAAAAATTTCATGAAAGATTTTTTTTTTACGAATTCTGTCCTTGTTTCAGCTGAATTGAATTGGTCCTTTGTAAACCAGGTAGTCCAGGTGGCTCGGAGGACAAGGGCAGCTTCGAGGGACAGGCCATACCCATAGGAAAGCTGAGAGGTCCTCAGCTTTTGAATCATCTTTTGAGTTAGAAGACCTTGAACTTATTAGTAAATCAATATTTTAAGAGTACACTTTGATTTGATGTACAGGTAAAATAAAAATCAGCATGTGTCTAAATAGTTACTGCTTTTAACTTAATAGTTCTACAACTCAGACAAAGGCAAGTTTTTGAATTCTTGTGTGTGGCAGTGGAATTCGTTTACAGATGAGCCAGGGTTTGGAATGTGGGCCTGGACGTGATGAATGGGAGCGCTAGTTAGCACAGCACCGGAACGTGACCTTCCTTGGTTGTAGCTGAGACCACACACCAATAGCTGGAGTGTGGGGCAGCTGGGGAGCACCGGATAATGGCGTGACCTCTCTGGACAGAAGTCTCCTCCCTGCAAAATGAGGAGGTTGAAAGGGCAACAAGGTTAAGATGAGCAACCCCATTGCTGTGGTCTTGTCTTTATTTCTTAGGCCTGGTCCCTTACTCTGAATCCGAGTATACACAGTGCTTATCAGAGCTGTTTGTTAGGACACTTTATATTTTTAAAAGAGCCTTGTGATATGGATAAAATTTAGGCCATCCCCTCCTTTCACCACCCCTATATCATACCTGCATTGCTAGCTTTTTAGCAGCCTCTGTTATTTCCATCAGTTTACCTGGGATTTTTCTTCCCTTGGTTGATGGTAGTGCGTGTGTGCTTTGGAGAGACCGTTTAGTCTACAGGTGGTGCCTGGGAGCCTGGGGCTCCTGCAAGTGCCTCTGAGGCCCTTTTGATACCCATTTTATAAAATGTGTCCACCTTTCCGTTTCGGTGACCGATCTTCCTGAACTCTGAGAATGGTCAGCCACTGGGTACATAGAGATTATACTTTGAGGACAGGAAGCTAAGGTTTGGCTTTTCTTCCTGCTAAGGCAACGTTTACCCTGAAGGAAAACGAGGCTTCTACTCAAGCTTCCGTGGCAGGCATTTCAAAAATATGAAGCAAAGCAAATTTTGCTAACTAGTCTCACTGAATGTTAAACAATTAAACCAAAATTTTCTCAATTATGTATTTTTTAATTTTTTGCTGCATAGATATACAACTCTTTAATATGTATTCTGTGTAAAGAGTCCATTATTCATATTTTATAGATGGAGCCTAATCTCACCATTTTATTTGATAAAACTTTATAGTTTATATGCTTGCTTCTTTGAAATATACATGTTAATGAGAAATATAAGCTATCAAGGCCTTGTTCAGAAAGTAACTGTGTATTTTACATTTCTCCTCCTCCCCCATTCATTGTCCTTTTATCAGTTGAATAGTTACAGTTATATAAGAAAATACAAAGAAGCACAATGAAGAATATTTTTAAAAATCAGTCTTAACACTACCATCAGAAGATAAGCCATATGAACTGCAGAATAATACTCTACCTGCTATCTTATAGTCTGAATTTCTTTATATAAAATATGAATATTTTCTTTTAATGAAAGGTTCTTCTCAATATGAGTTTTAATAATGGCTTAGTTCATCCTGTAGATGTCCATAGCATAACCCCCGATTGCAGGAGGCAGGATAAGGAGATAAGAAGGGATCTGAAGCAGACATCCTCCTTTTTACTGGCTGTGACCATGGCCACATTTTGTACCCATTCAATTCCTCAGTCCCCTCTTCCATAAAATGGGGTAACAGTAGTCCCAGCATTATATCCAGTAATGTAAGGATGAAATAAGTTACTACATGCTTAGAGCACTTACAATAATACTCTCAGATAGTAATAGAATATATTATTATAATGGAATATATAATTCCATTATTCTAATAGAATAATTACCTGGCACATGGTAAGTACACAATAAGCATTCATTATTACTTATATTGTTTTCAATTTTTTGATGTAAGACTACTGTGATAAGTGTCTTGGAAGAAAGAAGGCCTTTGCTCTATTATTTCCCAACGATAAATTTTTAGAAGTAGAATTTCCTCTTTGCTACTTTCCCTAAGTCACCTGCTTAGAGGGTGGCTGTACTATGTTCTCTCGCTAGCACTGTAGGGAGGAGGCCACTGCTCCTGAGTTTCTGGAAGCGCACTGTGGTGGAGACAGCAATGGCCTATGGGAGGATTTTCCTGTTCCCCAAAAGCACTGAATATTGACCAGCTGGGATTTACTCAACTTACTCTTTCTTTTCAATATTGATGTAGTCTTCAGGCAAAGGTATAAAAAATTACATGATGTAATTTTTTTGTTAGCATGTGATAGTCTGATTTTTGCTTGAGAGGATATTTGTGTTGGTATGAAAATTTGCACTTGACTACATTGTTAAGATGTTTTCCCCCAATGAAACAAATATTTTCTATTTTCAAGAAAAAAGCCACAAGCCATGAGAGCAGTCAGCCCTCCAGAACCCATGCTGGTGGAAGAGCCCCGGCCACCACGGTCAGTCATTTCCTAATAATTTTATTGATAAAACCATGAGGGGACCTTACGCTAGGGTATACCATTAGTAGGTGGGGCTTACAGTGTCCTATATCACCGAAAGGTTTTCAACAATGTATCGTTTGTGAATTGGGGGCGGGAATGCAATTTCTTAATGATTGGATTTAAAACCTAGTAAAACCATTTATATTGTAATTTTTACTGCCATTGTTTAATGTGTACAATGTATATTATTTTCATAAATATCTCTAATAATATTGGACTTTGTGCATACTATGAGTAGAAATATAGTCCTCCCACTTCTTTAGAAAATAATTCAAATTGTCTCACTCTGAGCATTAACCACACAAGGCTCTCTGCTACGTGTGCTATATAATTATCTTATGTAATCCCACATAACCTTACAATTATTATTCGTTTTTACCTGAGGAGACCAGGGCTCAGAGAGGTTAAGTAACCTTGACAAGGTCACAGAGCCAGTAAGATGGAGTTAGAGTCTGAGCCCAGGTTTCCTGTTCACACAGATCCTGGATGTGCTGGGCCTCATAAAATCTGATTGAGTACTTTTTGGTAATGTAACATTTCAAAGCTTTGCAATTTATAAAAATCACTGAAACATCACCTTTCAAGACAAGAAACTGCAATTTTAGCTAGTAGTTAATAATACGTAAAATAGTTACGTTCAGGCCACTTCTACTTGTCTTCTTCCAGTATGTTGCAAGGTTATCAAAAACCTTAACCTATTTCAAGTCTGTCTAAACAACTTTTAAAATAAGCATTTTTCCTTTAAACCTGGTGGCTCTCCTAAGGAGGTCTGCGGATTTTCTCATGTAGGTTTCTTGCTTGGTGAAGTTAATTTTTATTGCCTCCCAGAACCCTAGCTGCTTTCCAAGCCCCTAAAAGGTGCCAAAACCAAAACTCAGCTGAGAAATGAGAAGAGGTTGGGCACAGAGTTGAACACCAGGCTAACTAAAAACAATTTTTCCAGACATGTTGTCTTTTCTGGTATTAGGACCTTTATTTAACTTACTAGAGGCCCGGTGCATGGGGGGTGGTTCCTTCAGCCCATCCTGCACCCTCTCCAATCTGGGACCACCTTAGGGGATGTCCCCTCAGGGATCGGGTCTACACCGGCAGTCGGACATCCCCCTCACAATCCAGGTCCACTGGCTCCTAACTGCTCGCCTGCCTGCCTGATCGCCCCTAACTGACTCTGCCTCGGCCCCCGTACCTGGGACCCAGGCTGTCCTCCTTCTGGCTGGCTGCAGGCACCTGGGATCGCGGGCGGCTTCGCCTGGGTCCAGCTTTGTCAGGAAGGATGTCTGGAAGGTCATCTGGAAGATTCCAGTCTAATTAGTATATTGCCCTTTTATTAGTATAGATACTGAAGTTATGCCTCTAAAAATGAGAAGCCTCATTGGCAAAATGACAAGCCCGTGAGATCATTTATAAGTGGTTTCCAGAATTGTTAGTGCCTAAACTCTTGGAAGGTCTGTACATTGTGGAAAACCACACTCAGTTTTTCTTGAGCTTTGCCGTAAGAAGCAGTACCTTTCCCATAAGAAGCAGTACCTTCCCCATCTTTTATTTTCACACAGGAAATTATCATTTAATCATTCTGCAGTGGAATGGTTATAGAGAACTAGATGTCTCCCCCAAAGCCTGCTCTGCCTCAGGAAGCTGGTGAGGGTGGGAGCTGGGAGGTGGAGATATTTTAGCCACATGTTTTCCCATTTAATGGCAATCTTGACATTCTTTACTTGGCTTCTAAAACACCATCCTTCCCGACTCCATCCTTCTCTCTCCTGTTACTCTATCTCACCATGGTTTCCCGGCTCACTTTGCTTCACCAGTTTCCTGAATATTAGTTCTCCCTGGGTTTAATTCTTAACTCTTTCCTTTATCTTTAACTCTTACACAGATTGGAAGAAAAATAAATATATATATTATAAAATATACTTTCTTATTTCTTCTTTTGATCCAGATTGAAAGGGCTTTAACTCAGTATCATTATCACTTAAAAAAAAAATCATTCCTATGACTAATTTGGAAAAGCTGGGGGTAATAATAGCATTTGTGATCATTTGAAGCTTTTATTACACAAGTAATTTTCATAACACACAGACAAAAATAATATTTTCTCAGTACATTTTCAAAAGGCATGACAAAATAATAGATGTAATTGGCGGTGAGAATTAATCCTGGGGTTTTGTTTTTTTTATTTTGGACACATTCTACTTGAAAGTTAAAATAAACGATACATTTACAATTATTAAGAAAACCAAGTCTGTCTTTAATATTAAATACTTAATTTGAAGCTTATGTGTAAGCAATGTATTATAGAATAGTCACCATGTATTTCAGAACTGTTTAATAAGAATTCTTACAAAATGAGTAATTACATGCATGAATAATATCACTTATGCCGTGAAGTGCTGGTCTTGGAAGATCCAAAGCGTTTAAGTGGCATCGCAATTTCTAACTCAAAATAATTATTGTAAGATTTTTAGGGCTTAAAATTCAATTTTTTTTGAAAAATTAATAATGAAGACTAATGAGGCTACAGAAATTATTAGGCTCTAATTAAAGCCCATTGAAAACAGTTGTGATTCATCATGTCATTCAACTTTATTGCTGAAAGAGTTGTCAGGCAACTTCTGTCATAACCATCTCTCTGTTCAGGGGAGGAAACCAAAGTTGACCCTGCATTAGGAATCTCTCTGTAGAAGACCACAGCTGTTAAGAAGATGTATTAGTTAAGATTATTAATTCCAATTGGAACCCACTCGGACTAGTCCAAGCCAAAAAAAAAAAATTAAAGATAGCAGGTAGCTCCTAGAGCAGTGATGGCGAACCTATGACACGCGTCAAAGGTGATACGCAAACTCATTTTTTTGGTTGATTTTTCTTTGTTAAATGGCATTTAAATATATGAAATAAATATCAAAAATATAAATCTTTGTTTTACTATGGTTGCAAATACCAAAAAATTTCTATATGTGACACGGCACCAGAGTTAAGTTAGGGTTTTTCAAAATGCTGACACGCTGAGCTCAAAAGGTTCGCCATCACTGCCCTAGAGAAATCCAGAAATCTGTGGGAGCCTCTCCTGCTGCAGCGACAGCTCAGCACCTATCACATGTAGGACCAGATGCCAGAAATTCTGCCGCTGCCAATTTGGAAGACTGACAAGCCTTATCGTAACATAGATTTCCTGGTGGACAGTGCCATCCTCACACTGCTTAATTCCAAGCCCATTCTTCGTTGGCACATCCGATTGGCCAACACAAGTCACATGCCTCCACCTTGCTGCAGGGGAAGGGGTTGTGAGTATTCTGGATGGTACTTTGGGAAGGTGAAAATTGAGTAGGTGGGAAATTATCAGTATGTATGAGGGTTTGTAAATGTGTGTGGTCAGCTGCCAACTGACAGACACCCACCATGGAAGGGAGAACAAGGGAATTACCTAACTGAGCTGAAGGGAATCACAGATGATAGGTTGTTTAGTGACATTAGGGTTTTAAAACAGAAGAAGGTACAAACAGCTTTTCTCCAGCTGAAGGGGAGGAACGCTAATAAGCACCCATCAGAGAAATGCTTTGTGATTTTGGTCCTGGTTCTGCCATAAACAGCTGTGTTAAAGATGCGCACACAGCTCTCCATTCAGAGGCACTGGCTTGTCTCCTCTATCATCTGGTGAGGGGCTGGCTGCACCCTCTGTGTGCTGTGCGAGGTATTCCGGCCTTCAGTGTCAGCCTCACCCACAGTGCCTTGGGCTACCTGTAGTTAGTGAGATGACTGTGTGTTAACCGGCAAGCATTTTTATTTTAATAATGGTGCATGTATTTTTTTAATATATTTCTTTATTGATTTCAGAGAGAAAGGGAGAAGGAGAGAGAGATAGAAACATCAATGATGAGAGAGTGTGCCTCCTGCACAGCCCCTACTGGGGATCGAGCCCGCAACCCAGGCATGTGCCCTTGGCCGGAATCGAACCTGGGACCCATCGGTCCGCAGGCTGACGCTCTATCCACTGAGCCAAGCCGGCTAGGGCATGGTGCATGTATTTTAATATGCTCTAAAGAAGTAAACTAGAACTTCAAACTCATGATCCCATGACTAGTTTTGCTTAAGACAAAGCTAAAGGAAAAGTTAAAAAGTAAATCTATTTTTTAATATTAAATAAATTAAGTATACTAATTACAGATTAAAAATATATATTACAGATAATATACATATAACATGAGTTTAAGAAACAATACCCAGAGCAGTAATTTTCATATTTTAATGGGCATATTGAATCAGGGGGAGGGGTTATTAAAATGATTCTGACTCAGAAAGTCTGGGGTGAAGCCAAGCTTCAGCTTTTCTAACAAGCTTTGGTTGATGCTGAGGTTTCTGGTCTGGTAGCCACACTGTGAGGAGCAAGGATGCTGAATTGTGCTGAAAGGGGGTAGTTTGGAGTACCTGCGCCTTAGATTATCTCAACGTTGATTGGAGAATCGGGTGAAAACACAGATTCTCAGGTCCCAAGCCAGGAGATTCTGATTTACCAGGGTGGGGTAAGGCCCAGGATTTTACAGATGCAATAGGTGCCCTCAGGTGTTTCAGATGCAGATGCTGTGAGGACCACACTGGGAGAAAGGATGAGCTTGGCGACTGGATAGCCACAGGATACCATGGTGCACTAAGGCCCTTCTTCATCTCTTAGGAAAGGAGCCACTTTCTTCCTGTCTTGCAAGATATGAGTCTTTATTACATAAAGTGTAATTGCTTATCTATACTCTTCAGGAGCACATAAACACTCGTTTATTGTGGGAGATATGCTGCCTAACATGGGACTATGGAACCCAGAGTTCATTGAACTCTACTGGGGTGTGGCCCAAATAAGTCACCCTGTGCTGGTTTGTCACAAGAGAAATAAATATCAGTAAAACCTAGATGAGCTGAGGTTTAGTTTAAAAGAACAGGAGAAAGAAAACACATTAAATAAAACAGGA